TTGAAAGGTAAGGAGGCAGCTTAATGGGAGGTGAATGTGAGAGAAATGAGGATTTAGGGCTCTCTTGGCAGGGCGGGCAGTAAGTTAAAAGGCTCAGAGGCAAAGGGATGAACTTGCCATGTGTGAAGAACAGTGAGGTCAATGTACTTTGTGCTTGTGGCAAAATGAATGAAGGTGGAGGGTAGGAAAGAAGAGCTTGAGAGATCAGCAGGTTCCCAATTGTGTAGCATCCTGTGTATGAGCCTCAGGAGATTTGACATTACTTGAAGCATAAAGGAAAGCCATTCAAGGAGAAGTAATAAACTGAAAGTCTGTAGTCTCAGCCTGAGGACATATTCTATACCCAGTACAGTGTTTTCCTAACAATTTTAATTTCAAAACAGGGCAATTGCATATAAAAGTTGGAATTTGGGGGCGCCTGGGTGGCTCAGTGTGTTGGGCCTCTGCTTTGGCTCAGGTCATGGTCTGAGGGTCCTGGGATGGGCCCTGCATTGGTCTCTCTGCTCAGTGGGGAGCCTACTTCCCCCTCTTTCTCTGCCTGCTTGTGATCTCTCTGTCAAATAAATAAATAAAATCCTTTTAAAAAATTTGGAATTTGCAGCTTTTCTTGAAAAAAGCTTAGGATGGGACGCCTGAGTGGCTCAGTCAGTTAAGCGTCTGCCTTTGGCTCAAGTTATGATTCCAGGGTCCTGGGATCAAGTCCCACTTCAGGCTCCTTGCTAAGGAAGGAGCCTGCTTCTCTCTCTGCCTGCCTCTCCCCATGCTTGTGCTCTCTCTCTCTCTCTCTGACAAATAAAGAAAGTCTTTAAAAAAAAATAAAAGCTGAAGATCTCTCCATATTGGGCTCCAACTGTTTGGTGAAGTTTGGGTGTAATGCAATGGTGAGGTTTTACCAGGCAAATGCAAAGGAGGCAGAGGGGGGTTGGAGTAGCAGCTATTTTTAAGGGAGTGATTATAATGCTAAACCAGAGAGTCCTAGCTGGATAGGGTAGAAATTGAAGACTAGATGGGGCTGATGGTGGATGGACGTGGTTCAGTGGAGTGATCATCCTGAGTTCAAAGAGTTATTGCCATAAGGGGTATTATCACAAGTGAACCAGAAGAACAAGAGGTTGGGGTGGAATAGGGCAGTGTTAGGGCTGTGATCGCAGATGTGGCAATTTCTGGCAAGGGCAAGACCCAGAGTATAACCACGGGAGGGAATGGCTGACTTGGGGTAGAGGAAAAAGTCACTGGGCATGAGATAGTCAACCACTTGAGAAATCAGAATAATAGGAACTGAACTGAAGAGAAAGACTTTAAGTCAGATGTTACTCTTCAGGAACATCTGGGTGGCTCAGTCGGTTAAGCGTCTACCTCCAGCTCTGCTCATGATCACAGAGTCCTGGGACCGAGTCCTGCATCAGGCTCTGCTTCATGGGGAGCCTGCTTCTGTCTCTCCCTCTCCCTGCTGCTCCTCCTGCTTGTTCCCTCTCTCTCTGACTAAAAAAAAAAAAAAAAAAAGATGCTAGTCTTCAGTGAACAAGAGAGTGTGACCAGGAGATCACAAGATGACAGTCTTTTTTCTTTTTTCTTTTCTTTTCTTTTTTTTTTTTTTTTTAAGAGAGAGAGTGAGAGAGCAAGCATGAGCAGGGAAAAGGGGAGAAGCAGACACTCCCCAACCCCCGCCAAGCAGGGAGCTAATGCGGGCCTCCATCCCAGGACCCTGGAATCATGACCTGACCTGAAGGCAGTCGCCCAACCGAGCCACCCAGGTGCCCCACAAGATGACAGTCTTGATCATTCCTGACAGTCCTGAAGAGAGTAGGGGGGCAGTAGGTAATAGTTTGGACAGCAAGGAAATGAATGAGCTTTACTTCCTGGTCCTGAAGGATAGGTGCTTTAGTCATCTCAGGCTGCTATAGCAAATTACCATAGCTTGGGCAGCTTAAACAACAGACATTTATTTCTTACAGTTTTTTATGCTGATGAAGTTCAAGATTAAGGTGCTGGTGGTTTGGGTCCCTGCTGAGATACTCCTCTTCCTGGCAGACTGCCATCTTATCTCTCAGAGAGAGAGAGATCTGGTCTTTATTTCTCTCTCATAAGGACATTAATATCATAGGGGCTCCACTTTCATGACCTTATCTAAACCTCAATAACCCCCAAAGACCTCACCTTCTAATACCATCACATCAGGGTTTAGAATGTCATATAGGAATTTTGAAGTAACACAGGCATTTAGTCTGTAACACAATAGAATGGTTGACTTTGACTGGAAACCAATGCTAGAAACTGAGGTGTTTCTGTGAGGGAGATGTCCATTAAATATTCTTTTTTTTTCCTTTGGATTCTGGGGACATTCACAATAATATTCAGCTCATTTGTTTTTGTTTTTAAAGATTTATTTATCCAAATATTAAAAAAAATATTTTATTTATATATTTTGGAGAGGTGGGGAGGGTTAGAGGGAAAGAATCTCAAGCAGATTCCCTGCTGAGTACAAAGCCTGACAGGGGGCTCAATCTTATGACCGTGAGATCATGAACTGAGCCGAAATCAAGAGTCAGATGTTTAACTGATTGAGCCACCCAAGCACTCCTATCTATCTATTATCTCTCTATCTCTATTATCTATCTATTTTAAGTAGGTGCCATACCTGGCATGGAGCCCAGCATGGGGCTTGAACTCACAACCCTGAAATCAAGACCTGAGCTAAGACTGGTACGGGATATCTGTGTTTTAAGGTGGCCGACCAATCCAACAGGTGACCCCAGTCCTGGCCCCAGAGCCATTTCGGGTTTTCCTCCCCTGTCCCTGCCAGCAGTGGGCACAAGAGTGGCACAGATACATAAGTAAAAGTATATAAACTACCCCCTTTGTTTGTGCTCAGGGCTCAGACCTTGGGAGATTACTCCCCTCTGAGCTCACTTGCGTTGAATAAACCTCCGATCTCCAAGGTCTCTTGAGTGCCACTTGGTTCTTCTGCCAGAATCCAGTTCAGATTCTGTAACAAGATCAAGAGTCAGATGTTTAACTGACTAAGCCACCGAGGCGCCCCCAGTTAATTTTTTTTTAATTACCATTCCATATAGTTAATATCAAATCTTTAATGAAAGTCTAATACAGTCTCAGTCTTTGTGTTCATGGTATTGTGGGAAATTGAGGGGTGGGCAATGAACCTAAGTGTGGCTTTCGTGCATACCTCTCTAGTCATATAAGCAACATATCCACTGAGTTCTCAATGGTCACCAGCAACAAAAGGGGCAGGGGTCCTTGGTGAAGCTACCCCAAGAAAATGTTAAATTTCTCAGTCTGCAGAAATCCTGGGGCAGGAGCTACCCTTCCCACATCAATGGTTAGTGGGATGATGCTGAAATATCGAGAAGGACACTTTGAGATATCTGGAAGATTCAGAAACACCAGGTGGCTGATAATCTAGGGTATAGAAAAGAAGACCTTGGGGTAGAAAGTAGGGAAAATGAACAGAGCACTGTCTTCGACTTGAAGAATGAGAGAGAACAGAAAGAACATTGAAACAGCAAAGGAAGACTTGGGAACAGAATTACCCCTGAAGAAATCTTATTTTTTTCTACTTATTAACTAAAGCTATTCAAAATCTCTTAATATACAGAACCTTTGTTTTTATCTGAAATAGTAATTAGGGACTTAGATAGTATATTTTTTTAGCTGGATTTTCCCCAATATTATTTGTGTGCCCCCTCACTGGAGATTTATAGGGATTTATGTGTGCTAGCTGATTGCCTTTGTGGGAGGCAGTGTTGTGGTTAAGTGCACAGACTGAGCCAGCTGGCTGAGTAGAATCCCCGCACAATGGCCCAGCTCACCACTTCTTGGCTGGGTGACCTTAGCTACTGGCTTACTCACTCCACATACTTACTCTTTAAAATTGGGCTTAATAATAGTGTCTGTCTAATAAAGTTGCTGTGAGGATCAAAGGAGTTAATACATGAAAACTATTTAGAATGGTGCCTGGCACATAGTTAGATCTAAGTCTTAGCTGTTACTTATTTTCTATTAGATGTACTACTGAGGCACTACATTCCTTGAAGTTACTACTCAGTGTGTGTTAGGAATCCAACGTATTTCATTTTGACTTCTAAGGTAATATGTGCATAAGGTAAAAAAATTTCCAACGGTATACTTGCACAGTCCAATATCATAGCCGCTAGCCACACGTGAATATTAAAATATTTCCATCATTGCAAAATGTTCTATTAGAGCTGGTAGATAGTTAAACCTCCCAACCATTGCTACCCGAATCCCTCTCCCCAGGGGCAATCACTGTTGTAGGTTCCTTGCATAGCTTTTGCATAGCTTTTCACACACACACACACACACAATTTTTTACACAAATGTTACCATATCATTACATTGTCCTGCATCTAAATGTAGTTTAAAAATATACTAATTTATACTACTAGTAATATCCTAAATATACTAACATAGCTTTCTACATTTAATCAGTTAACAGTTCGACAATTTAGAGCACGTGATATTAGGGTTACAAAGCAACCGTGCAAACTTGAATGCACGATTCAGATATATTAAGCATCTTGTTGTATCTGGGAACAAGTGGAAGTACTACTTCAGTTTCCTTTCTGCATTGCAGATGCGGAACCCACTCTAAGGTTGGGTTAACTGAAGTCACGAACTAATCATCTCGCCTCCCCACCAGCATCGCTGGGAAGCCTTTAGCCCCCCCGCCCCTACTCCGCACAGACGTCCAGCGCGGCGGAAACCCCCTGCATAAATGCTGGGGTGGGGGGTCACTGTCGCCAGTCTCCGACTCAGCGGGGGGCCCGTCCACAGGCGACGAGGGAGCCCATAGCCGCCGTCAGTCCACTCCTGGGGGGCTTGTAGGGGGGACAAGGGCCCGGTTGTCGGTAGGCGCGCTGGGCCCCCACAGGCCGGGGAGCCTGGATCCGCGCGCTGCGCCCTAGGAGCGCGGCGCCCCCTGCCGTCCGCCGGAGGAGCGCGCCGCTGGCTCGCGGGAAGCCGGGAACATGGCGGGGCGGACTGTGGCCCCGGCCTCGCCGCCGACGGACCGGGACGGAGCAGCGCCCAACGTGGTGGCGCGGGTCTCGCAGTGGGCCGATGACCACCTGCGTCTCGTCCGGGTACCGGAAACCAGCCGGCCGGGCAGGCGGTGGGCACAGGGCCGCGCGGAGCGAGCCTGAGGGAGGCGGGCTGCGGGAGGCCGCGCGCAGTGGAACCGTGGGGGCCCGGGCGGGGCGGAGGGCCGCTTCGCCAGGATAGCGAAGGACGGGCGGCCGTGGGGGGGGGGAGTGCGATCCGATTGGGCTGGCTGCGTGGGATGGGCGAGGCGGGCCAAGGAGGCCACCTCTGCCGAATTACTGCTAGGACCGTGGTGGGCCCCGGGGACACCTCAGAGATAAACGCAGCACAGCGTGGGGCGCCAGCACCCCCCCCCCCAAAGCATTTCGGGTCGGCGAGGCACAGGAAACCAAGGGTGGGGGGTGGGCACGTGGTCCTGTAGTCCTTATGTTTCGAATGAAGTGAGAGGGCACTGGAGTTCGACCAAGCGTGGGACATCTTAGGTGACCAGGCGACACAAGATTGTGGCTAGTTCCCCGGGGATGGTGTGATTGATTTGAGGTGGGAGGTAAAGAAAGAGGAAGCAAGGGGTGGACGGTGGTCAAAGTTGCTTCTGGGAAGGAGTTGGGAGTCAGTGATTTGTTGGGGAAATCTGGCGGACTCTGGACATGTGAACTTGAAGGTGGACGTGGGTGAACCTGAAGATGGTTATTAGAATTCTAAACCAAGTTCTAGATGTTATCTAGGCAACCAGGTATAGGAATCTGGCATTGAAGGGAGATCATAACTGGACATACAACTTTAGGAATGAACCACATAAACCTTAAGCTAGTGTTTTAAGCTTGAATGGCATCTTGGAACGAGTCAGAAGAGTTTCTGAAATCCTAGAATTGAGAACTGGGACCTGAAGGATTCTCTTAACATTTAGAATTTGTGAAAAGGAGGAGGTCAGCAAAGATTGGAAAGAAACAGTGAAGGAGTAGGAGGAAAATCAGGAAAACCAGGTGTCCTAGAAGTCAAGGGAAGAGAATATTTTCAGAGAGAATGAGTAACTATGTTAAATTCTTCTGAGAAGTTGAGTAGGACCATCAGTTTTGCAAAGGCTCTGCAATCATGGCCCACAAGGCCCTGGACCATGGCTGTTTCCTTCCCAAATACAGCTCTTACCCCTAGAATATTGCCTACCACTTAGTAAGTGCTAGACAGGTATGGGTGGCATTAATGAATGATAGATACACACGTGTTAATTGACAAAGCCTGGCTTCTTCCAGTGAAGCAGAATTTGGTGCCTGGGTTGTTTCAAATTAAAAAAAAGACTTCAGTAGATTGAGAGAGGGAACGGTGTTTAAACTGGCATATGGAAGGATGCCTGGGTGGCTCAGTCAATTAAATGTCCACTTTCAGCTCAGGTCATGATCTCAGGGTTCTGGGATCGAGTTCCGCATTGGGCTCCCTGCTCAGCCGGGATCCTGCTTTCCCCTGTCTCTCTGCCTGCCTCTCTGCCTACTTGTGATCTCTGTCTGTCAAATAAATACATAAAATCTCTTTAAAAAATCTTTAAAAAAATTGGCACATGGATACATTATTCCAAATATCCCAGTCACAGGGTGTATCTTTGTATATATTTCCTTTTTTTCCCTACAAATGGGAAATCCACAGAACAAATAAAAGGCATTATGTGATAGTAATTACAAAGTTTTCACCGCTTTGTTTTGTTTGCCTGATGTTTAGAGGAAGATCAGGGTTGGATCTAAGTAGCTTTACTTCAACACTAAGAGCAGTCTTAGCATCTTCATTTCTTTGGGTATATTTTCAGCTTCATTTCTTACTTACCTAGTTGTATTTCTTGAAGGAAAACATGTTAGATTATTGCGCTTGTTGCGGGAGGCTCAGGTTCTTATTTTTAAGTTAAACTTTTTTAGGTCTATTTCAGTGTGTGTGTGTGTGTGTGTGTGTGTGTGTGTGTTTAAGGATTTTATTTGCTAATCTGCTTGACACAGAGAGAGAACGAGCAAGCCAGCAAGCCGCAGGCAGAGGGACAGGGAAAAGAAGGGTCCCTGCTGAGCAGAGATTCCTGTGGGGCTTCTTCCCAGATCGGGACCTGAGCTGCAGGCAGATGCTTAACTGACAGAGCTACCTAGGTGTCCCAGTCTATTTCTAATGAAGCACTTTAAAAACATTGATAAGTTCTTCCCAACTCTTCTCCCACATATACATCTAAAGCATTATATTTTAAGCTTTGGATAGTAAAGTTTTCTACCAAATATTTACATTCCCACTGTAGACTCAGGGTTATGCAAGTTACTGTGGACATTGTTCAAGAAGTATTAGACTGATTCATGCATTTAAGGAATTCATGGTTAAAAGGAACAGTCAATAGAGAACAATACAATATTACATATATAATTACTGTGCGTGCCAGATTGTTTGGGGAAAAAGCAGGAAGATTAATGAGTAGGTGGGCAGTTAAAGTTTGTTGGGAGAAATGCGCCGTTAGTTGAAGGATGCGCCTTATTTGGACAATTAATAGAGAGGTCAGTCTTCTTTTTGGTCCCCTTCCAATGAGTACTTGTACTATTATGAATAACAACTAGTGAGAATTAATCATTTAATCTCTTTCTGAAGAACATCAGCACCGTAATGGCCGTAGCTGGAACAGTGTTACTTCTAAGAAGTGTTCGGATGGTAAGTTAAAAAAATGAAAAAGGCACTATGATAAGCAAGGGACAGTTAATTTCTTCTCACTTGCGGACCATTTTTCTCTCAAGCAGTGTATCATTTTGTTATTCATATTAGAAGTCTTAAATATTATTTTAGAACAACAAACCCGTTTTAAGATCTTGGTTTAAAAGCAACACATCCGCAGGATTGTATGGAAAGTGATTGCCCGCTCTGTATTTCCATAATCACTTTTCTTCATGCTTAAAAAGGAATCTGTAAAGGATTTAGTTGGCTAGAATGCTGTAATCACTAAATTTGCATTTCAGACGTTGTGGCATGTCTCAAAACCGTTTTGTATAGTGGTTTTAGATTATAGTCAAATTATGTCCTTTAGCACTGAATAATTTATACTTTCTCCAATTTGTAGCAATCTGTAAGATCTGTTTAATGAACAGAGCAAAAAGTGTGATGTAAAAAAATAATTTATATTTTCAGTTAGCATATTTTTTGGCCTCTCAGTAATGTTTTAATAATAGATATTATGGAATCCTTTTGACAATTCAGGCTTTGTAAGTTTTTTTAATGTAACTGATTCTTGTCACTGAGTGTAATTGTAGTGTCATGTTACAGTCTGGAATGAGTTTATTGCTTCTGTGTATATTAATGTCTTACATTTATTATCTCTATATTGTTTTATATTATCACTGACTACGTAGCTTTACTGTACTATATAGTACATCTTTTCCAATTCCTGCCTTTTCCCTCTGACTCCAAGGTCAGACTTTTATTCCCCCATTTTTTATTAAGTGTCTTGAACTCATTTTTAACCTTGTATCTAATAATCTAATAGGTTTTTTCTTTTAACACCTCCATGATTTTGTAAGTCATTCACATTTAGCTTATATTTTTAAAGTGGAACTTTTGAAGCTTTAGCTCTTTTCATTTCACTTTTTTCTTTATCTTACAATCTATGTTCCATGACGTTTGTATTTTGAAGGTTTCAAAATTGTCAAAATAGTAAATGATCTGATTAAGAATTTAGGTAAAAATAAGGGGTGCTTGGGTGGCTCAGTCGGATAAGCGTCCGTCTTCAGTTCAGGTCATGATCCCAGGATCCTGGGTTTGAGCCCTGCAGTGGGCTCCCTGCTCAGTGAGGAGTCTGCTTCTCCCTCTGCCCTTCAACCCACTCGTGTTCTCTCTCACTACCTCTCTCTCTCAAATAAATAAATAAAATCTTAAAAATAGAATTTTGGTAAAAATAAATCTGAGGGATTACTTCACTTGTTAGCCCTTAAAAATGACATAAATCAATTATAGATTGTTCTAAGTTATACAATATTAGGTATGTTATTGATTTATGCAAATTACTTATTCATTAATAGTAATTTATATTAGTATGTTATGAAGTTATTCATCTTAGACCATAGTTCTGGTGTCTTTTTTTCTTAGGTTTTATGAGTTTTGAAAATAATGAATAGTGGTGAGAAGAGCAAGCTAAAGAGGTAGAAAAAGAATATTGGAACATTAGGGGGCAAACAATTTTATTGTGTAACAGTTGGAGAACTTTGGCTACAAGTAGGAGAAACCCCATACAGCAGTAGTTTAACCAATTTAAAAGGCTTTTGTTTTCCTCATGTTGAAAGACTTGTGGAGGTAGGATGCTGCTGGCATTGGTCTCTGGGTCAATGACAGAGAGTTTAGGTCTGTATGATTCTCTGTGCCTTTCCTCATGGCACAGAATGGCTGCTGTAACTCCAAATAGCATATTCACGTTCAAAGCAGAAGAAGAGGGAAAAAGAAGGTGCCAGCCACATGTTTTCCTTTTTATTGAGAAAACAGAAGTTTTACCAAAAGCCTTCAGTAGACTTTTGCTTACATCCTTTTATCATATGGCCACCTCTAGGTGGAAAGGAGGTTGGGAAGGCGGTCATTTAGGTTTTCCATCCCTTACAGTACATGATGACAAAATAAAGAGGCTTGGGAATAGATAATGCATTAACCAACCAAAGTCCTGCCACAAAGGGGACCTAATAGCTCCCCTTCAGCTTTCTTTCTGTATTTCCTCCCCTTTTTCCTCCTCCTGAGTTTACCAACCTCTCATATTCTTTCAGCTACTGGTAGATAAGTCCAAATTTCATATTTAAAAAATAAAAAATGATGATTGAGTTCAGTACTGTGCTAAGCACTTGAGATACGTAATTTCATTTAATACTTAAAATAATCATATGAAACAGGTATTTTTAAAAATTTATTTATTTATTTATTTGTTTGTTTATTTATTTAGAGAGTGTGGGAGAGGCGGGGGGGGAGAGAATCTCAAGCAGACTCCCCACTGAGCACAGAGCCTGACCTGGGGCTTGATGCCATGACCCTGAGACCATGACCTGAGCCAAAATCAAGTCAGATGCTCAGCCAACTAAGCCGTCCAGGTGCTCTGAAAGAGGCATTCTTACACCTAATTTTTATGGACAGAGGAGATGGATACTCGAAGAAGTTAAGTAATTCTCATCCAGCTAGTATGTGGCAGAACTGGATTCCAAATTTCATCTTCCTGAATTTGAAACACTTATTATTTTCTTTTCATAGTGTTTCCAGCTTTTGTCTCTTTGCCTTTAGGACACTTCCTTCTCCATCTGAGGCTTAGGGACTGTGTTCTTGTTAGTGGCATCATCTTTCTGCCTCTTCTAGAGAGCAGGATGTTTATCACAAGTTTAGAATTCACTTGCTTTAAGATGTCTCCCTCAGATCTTATTCTTTCCATTTTTGACCCTTTAGCATTTATGACTTTATTTACTTATTTGAGAGAGTGAATGGGGGGAGGGGTAAAGGGAGTGGGAGAAAGAGAATCTTTATCAGGCTCCATGCCCAGCATGGAGCCTGACTCGAGGCTCGATCTCATGACCCTGAGATCATGACCAGAGCCGAAGTCAGATGCTTAATGGACTGAACCCTCCAGGCAGCCGAACCCTTTAGCACTTATACTTTATCTTTTTTTTTTTTTTTAAGACTTTATTTATTTATTTGACAGAGAGAGAGCACAAGCAGGGGTGGTGGCAGGCAGAGGGAGGGGAGAAGCAGGCTCCTCGCCAAGCAGAGAGCCTGATGTGGGGCTGGATCCCAGGCCCCTGGGATCATGACCTGAGCTGAAGGCAGATGCCCAACTGACTGAGCCACTCGGGGGCCCTCTTATATATTGCTTATCTTAAACCTACTTATATATTGCTCTGAAGTTGTATTCTGGTTTTACTTACATTGTTAGTTCATCTCCCAGATAGTGCCTGTTATGTCACAGAAATACAGCACTGAACTTTCTGCTGTTGAGGGATTATTGGATGCAGAAAAGGTAGATGCAAGGGGATCTGCCTTTAAAGGTTCCTCACGTAGATGGTGAATTCGGTGAGAGCAAGGATCATGGGTTCTATTTCAGTTTCTTCCCCTAGCTCCTTGTAATTTCTAAAATTCCAAACACCAAGGCACTCTTAGATCTTTTTATGTATATCCTCAATGAAAACACCTAAAATTAAAAAGGGATAGATATTTAGTAATTGGAGATATCTTTAATGACCCTCTCTACTTCTAAGTCTTCCCTCCCCTGTGCGAGATATTCTTGGTTTTCTCATGTGATGTGGTTTCCAGGCACTTGATCATCTTCTTTCTCATCTTCTAGTTTTGTTCTAGTTTGTTGTTGAAGTCTTTTATGAGATATGGTACGCAGGAGAGCACAGTATATCCCATGAGGGCCTGATCTAGAACGATCTCTTCCTTATTTCTTGTTTGGGATCTGTTCCTTACAATGTTGCTTGGTGTTTGAATTTGGTGGGGAGCAGTGAAGAGTAGAGAGAAGAGGGAGTTTGTACTTTTTTTTTGTAGACTTGTCACACTTTCATTTCATTTTGAGTTCACAATGAACTAAAGTTCTTTATCTTTCTCATATATCCTACAATTAGTTTATTGTCTTCTATCCTACATTAGTTTTGGGGAGTACAGGGGAAGACTTTTATATTTTATCCCATCATCCCAGTTGTCAGGATCTTTTAAAATACTAACTCTCACTTTTAGTATTCATAGTTTTTTTTTTTTTTTCCCAAAAGATTTTATTTTTAAATAATCTCTGTACCCAGTGTGGGGCTTGAACCCATAACCCCAAGGTCAAGAGTTGCATGCTCCACCAACAGAGCCAGACAGGTGCTCCCCCCCAACACTTCAATTAAATCATAAGTAAAATATTAATATAAAATTAAGGACAAAATTAAAAATTTTCAGTGGTTATATCTTCTTGTTAAATGTTTAGATGACAATTTGACATAATTTAAAATGAAAATAATAATAAAATATTATGTTTTTTTTATAAATCAACAGACGTCAAAATTTACAAGTTCTTCAGATATTCCAGTAGAATTTATACGAAAGAATGTTAAACTACGTGGACGATTACGCCGAATAACTGAGAATGGCTTAGAAATTGAGCATATTCCTATTACTTTACCTATCATATCTTCATGGAAAAGTAAGTAGAGTGAGAAAATAACACAACTATCTTAGTATTTGTTAATTAAAAGTCATTTGTAAAATAGCAAAAAAAGTCATTTTAACTTTTAGTAACTTTGTGAGGGAAAGTACAAACTCTTGGCTTTAAATACAAGGGACAGGGGTGCCTGGGTGGCTCTGTGGGTTAAAGCCTCTGCCTTCAGCTCAGGTCATGATCCCAGAGTCCTGGGATGGAGCCCTGCATCGGGCTCTCTGCTCAGCAGGGAGCCTGCTTCCCCCTCTCTCTCTGCCTGCCTCTCTGCCTACTTGTGATCTCTGTCTGTCAAATAAATAAATTGCATCGGGCTCTCTGCTCAGCAGGGAGCCTGCTTCCCCCTCTCTCTCTGCCTGCCTCTCTGCCTACTTGTGATCTCTGTCTGTCAAATAAATAAATAAAATCTTAAAAAAACAAACAAACAAATAAATACAAGGGACTATTTAATTTGGCTTCAGATTCCCCCCCCTCCTTTTTTTATTCCACCATTCAGGATTTCATTCAGGCGTTTATGCATTCTTTCCACAAATAATTGAGCAACCGTTATGTTATGTTGTTGTAATTATGTTGTCATAATTTAAATCTCTTCTCTCTGGAATAGTGATGACTTTTCAGGGCTCAGGCAGCAATGTCACCACCTGGGTTTGTCCAGGCTGTACACTGCACAATTCTGGGGATGCTATTAAGTAGAACCTGCTTCCAGAGGTCATGCTGAGACAGCACTGTAAATTGCCATATATGCATTTGTTTATAATGGCTTCTCCATCCTGTTCTGGAGCTTACTGAAATGGGTTTTTTACATTATTCCATATGTTACATGCTTCGGTTGCTTTAAAAGAAAAGTTGAATACAGATATAAATAGATCTACATTTAGAGAGTCTGGGTGTTTGTAAAGAAGCATAGTATATTTAGTTGTTTTGCGGGGGCATGTGACTTTGAAATTTGCTTTTGCAACATGATATTAAAGCTAGACAATTTTCTATCTAACCCTTTTAGAAGAGCCCTGTGGTGTTCTATTGGTTAAACTGGCAGGAGTAGAACTCACTGAAACTGGGAAGGTGTGGTTACAAAAAGAGTTAAAACCTTCCCAATTGCTATGGTTTCAACTTCTTGGAAAGGAGAATTCGGTGCTCTTTTGCTATCTTCTAGTGAATAAGGTAAGTGTGAAGAAATCATGAGCAGTATTTTATTCTTTTTATTTGTTCAGAACCATCATTAGAATCTTGAATCTACAATGGGACTGAATTTTTGTCTTTCTTAACTGCTACTCATAGTGATCATGTATAGTGAACCAGGTGTTTCATATATACGTTTTGAATATTATTTATATGTTTATTATAAAAAATGGAAAATTAAGAACATGAAAGAAACCTAAAATTATTAATGACTTTGGACATTGCTCATTTGAGGATTATCTTTACACATTTACTTATATATGAGTATAGTGTATCGCCCTTGTTATTAGAAACTGCTTGTTGAGTGAGCCCTGTCAGCTGGAAACTACAAAGAGCAGGGGTGTTTTCTGAAGTAAATAGTGCTCAGTCTCTGAACTGTAAAGTCAAGAATATTTAAGTACTGTTTATGATCTGTAATCAGTCAACTAAAGACTTGGCCTCAGAGTTTTCCTACCATTATGACTGACCATGGCCACTGTGTAACTGGGGATGCTGTGGAGCTTTATCAGTGTCCCTGTGTCTCTGTCCTTAGTCCTTGCAGGAGCCTTACTTCAGGCTTTTGGTGGACGATTACTGAAAAAAGAATGTAGAAAATTAAGTAGATAAAGTGTTATGATAGGTTGAAGTACAGTTTTCTTACTCTTAAAGTCCCTTATTGGAGCACTTGGGTGGCTCCGTCATTAAGCGTCTGCATTCGGCTCTTGTCATGGCCCCAGGGTCCTGGGATCGAGCCTGCATCAGGCTCCCTGCTCAGCGGGAAGCCTGCTTCTCCCTCTTCCGCTCCCCCTGCTTGTTTCCTCTCCTGCTCTCTCTCTCTGTCAAATTAATAAATAAAGTCTTTAAAATAAATAAATAAAGTCCCTTATTTTATAACAAACAAAAATAATCTGAGGAAAAAAATAACCTCACGTTAAAGGGATTAAAATTGTAACCATTTTGAATTCTTAGAGCTTTTTGAACTATTGATAGAAAGCCTGATGAAACCCGTTAATTTCTGTATGTCCGGGTCATATGCAGTTCTTTCAAAATAAGAATTATCCAACACTGATTGGTTGAAGTGTCTTCGAGTTAAAAGTAAGCTGGTAGGGGTCTGTGGCTGGCTCAGTCAATGGAGCATGCAACTCTTAATCTCAGAGTTGTGAGTTCAGGTCCCACCCACGTTGGATGCAGAGATTACTTACAAATAAAATCTTTTTTAAAAAAATAAAAAGTAAGCTGGTAATGCAAAATATATAAAGATGCCAAAGGCCTTACAAAAATATTATGTTCTCCGCACCTGGCTGGCTCAGATGGTGGAGCATGTGACTCTTTTTTTTTTAAAAGATTCAATACTTTTAAAAAAGATTTTATTTATTTATTTGACAGAGATCACAAGTAGGCAGAGAGGCAGGCAGAGAGAGAGGGAGAAGCAGCTCCCCACTGAGCAGAGAGCCCGATGCAGGGCTCAGTCCCAGGACCCTGAGATCATGACCTGAGCTGAAGGCAGAGGCTTTAACCCACTGAGCCACCCAGGCGCCCTGAGCATGTGTCTCTTGATCTTGGAACCATGAATTAGATCTCCACGCTGGGTATACAGATACTTAAAAATAAAAAAAATGTTGGGAGCTTGGGTGGCTCAGTAGGTTAAGTGCCTGACTCCTGATTTCTGCTCAGGTCATGAGCTCAGGGTCATGAGATCAAGGCAGGCATTGGGTTATGCACTCAGTGGGGAGTCTACTTGATATTCTCTCTTCCCTCCGTCTCTCCCCCTGCTGGCCCTTGTGATACATGCTCTCTCTCAAATAAATAAGTAAAATCTTTTGCAAATTTTTTTTTAAAGATTCTGTTTATTTGAGAGAGAGAGCACATGCATATGGAGGGGGGAGGGGCAGAGGGAGACTCAGACTCCTTGCTGAGCTGGGAACCTGACAGGAGGCTTGATCACAGGACCCTGAGATCATGACCTGAGCCTAAGGCAGATGCTTAACTGACCCAGGTGCCCCATAAATAAAATCTTTAAAAATAAATAAATAAATAAATTATAAAAAATAAAAATAAAAATAATTTTTTTAAACTAAGAAAACATTATCTTTGGTTTTAAATTGAGAAGTATATTTTATTTATCCTCAAAACCACCCTATGGAGTCATTGTTTTTACTCCCATTTATAGATGGGACTCAGGGTAACCAAGTGGAAGAGCCCATATTCAACCCAGCTCTTTCTGGCTCCTGAGCTCATACTTCACCTTAAATACTTTAGTTTATATTACTTCCTAGGTGACCCAACTATGCAGTATATGCATGCTGTGGTAATTTGCATTTGTTGAATTTACTAATGTGTGAGATTGAATTTTAGTTATTCTGATTTTGGTTTAAGGGAATGAGCTCTTATAATTTAAAAGGTTGAGAAAAACACAATAAATCCTTTAAGACTGTATTTATTAACTCATTATTATGACCAAAAGTTACTGCATTTAAGGGAAAAAAGGTTACTTTGTTCCTTATGAAAGTCCTAAAAATGTCTCTTACTTGAAACCTGGAGTTTTCGCATTTTTAGAATTTAATTGTGAAGTACTTGACTAAGAAAGTTATTAAATTATTAGTGTTAAAATTACTCTCATTAGGTTAAAATCCCACAAGGACTATATAAATAGCTAAGCAGGATCTCCTTTTTTTTTTTTTTTAAGATTTTTAAAAAATTACGTAATCTCTACACCCAACATGGGGCTCAAACCCACAACTCCAAGATCAAGAGTCTTAGGTCTACTGACTGAGCCAACCAGCCTCCCCAGCAGGATCTCCTTTATACTGTAAATTAGTAGGAAAAAATCCAGTTTCATTTAGAAGTGAGGTTTTCCTTGAAGAAAATTTCCTAAAGGATGAAGATGCAAGGTCCAGTCCTATTTTTCATGTAAAAATTATTTTGTGGTGGGGCACCTGGGTGACTCAGTGGTTTAAGCCTCTGCCTTCAGCTGGGGTCATGGTCTCAGGGTCCTGGGATCGAGCCCCGCATCGGGCTCTCTGCTCGGCGGGGAGCCTGCTTCCCCCTCTCTCTCTCTGCCTGCCTCTCTGCGTACTGTGACCTCTCTCTCTCTCTCTCTCTGTCAAATAAATAGATAATCTTAAAAAAAAAATTATTTTGTGGGAAGTCTTTTAAAAATGTATTTGGGGCACCTGGGTGGCTCAGTGGGTTAAATAAAGCCTCTGCCTTAGGCTCAGGTCATGATTCCAGGGTTCTGGGATCGAGCCCCACATCGGGCTCTCTGCTCAGCGATGAGCCTGTTTCCCTTCCTCTCGCTGCCTGCTCTCTGCCTAATTGTGATCTCTGTCTGTCAAATAAATAAATAAATTAATTAAATATTTTTAAAAATAAAAAATGTATTTACATGCCAGCACCTTCTTACGCACTGGAATTCTGAAACCTAATCTAATAGTTCAGTGATGATTCAGTTCAATTTGCATTTGTGTGCTTTTAGTTTCTTTTGTTATGGCCTCTGTTGTTTTGCTTATTTTGTGTGCTTCTTTTCCCCAAACGTCAAACAAACAAAAACCGCTTTTTATACTTTATTACTTTTACATCTCTTTGGGTTAGAAGACCAGTGAGTTTGTGGGGAGCTGTATGTTACAAAAGAGATAATTAAGATGTGCCAGGTGACTCAGTCAGTTAAGCGGCTATCTTCTGCTCAGGTCATGATCTCAGGGTCCTGGGATCTAGTCCGGGTTTAGGCTCCGGGCTCCCTGCTCCCTGCCGGGTGGGAAGTCTGCTTCTCCCTCTGCCCCTCCCCCTGCTCGTGTGCTCCCGCACTCTCTCTCTCAAATAAATAAATAAAATCTTTAAAAAAAATAAATAAAAGAGGCAATTAACTTTGAACAAGGATCTCTCCTAGTAATGAAATTCTTGGATTTAGTATTAGCTGTTTTAAGTTCTTAGAGAGCCCTTTGCTTTGTTTTTTGGCTTTGGAGGCTAAGTTGCTAAATGACTGATTTTTTTTTTTAAGATTTTATTTATCTGTTTATTTTAGAGAAAGAGAGAGAGAACATGTGAAGGGAAGGGAGAGGCAGAGGGTGTGGGAGAGAGAGAATCTCACAGACTGCACTGAGCACGGAGCCCGATGCAAGGCTAGATATTAAGACCCTGAGATCATGACCTGAGCCAAAATCAAGAGCTGGGTGCTTAACCCACTGAGCCACCCAGGTGCCCCTCTGAATGATGATTAAATTAATTAATTGGTTTATTTTATTTTTTTTAAGATTTTATGTATGTGTTTGAGAGAGAGAGAGAGCGTGAGAGAGATAGCACAAGGGGTGGGGGGAGAGGTAGAGGGAGAAGCAGACTCCCCACTGAGCAGGGAGCCCGATGTGGGGCTCCATCCCAGAACTCTGGGATCACCACCCGAGCCAAAGACAGACACTTAACTGACTGAGCCACCCAGCAGCCCCTGGATGATTATTTAATTTAAATAAATAAATAAATTCAAAATGAAGATGTTGTAGGTATAGTAGCAATTTTCTTTAGTAATTGGTCTGTGTTATTTTTTATTCAAGGGTAGGTATTTTAGTGTGAGTCTGAATGAAGAAATTTTGAGAAGAGGCCTTGGCAAAACTGTTCTTGTTAAAGGGCTAGACTGTGATTCTAAAATCTATTGGACAATTCACAGAAACTTACTTAAAGCTGAATTAACAGCCTTGAAAAAAAGAGAAGGAATATGGAAGGAAGAATCTGAAGAAAGTTATTTGGAAAAATTCAAAGGCTCCTGGAGAGAAATATGGAAAAAAGACAGTTATTTTAAAAAAATTGGATCAGATTTCAATTTGAAAAAAGAAAGTTATTATGAGAAATTTAGAAGGACTTATGACACATGGAAAGACAACATAAATAACTACTCCTTTATACTGAAGTTCAGAGAACTTATGAATCGCATACACTTTCGTAAAAAAGGGTGAACTATTCCAAGGGGTCTGGAGGTGACCCACTCAGAAAAGAGTAAAATATGTAAATATGTAGATGTTTTCATTGAGTTGAAATGGAAATTTCTCTGAATGACCTAAGTTGCAGTCTGATGGTATTTAAATATTTAAGAGATGATTGTTTTAAATGTAATAGAACAATTTAAGCAAGTTGTAATTAATGTAATATGCTTTTAGGAAAAATGAAATACTCTATAAAGTCACCAGGATAAAGGATATATATCTGTAGTGCTAATATTTGAAAAGAGAGTTTAACTGTTGGACACTGTTATTTTCGGCATCCATATTTAATTTTTGTTGAAAGAGAATATTTGTTGACTTTTCCAGTTTTATCAATTTTGGTTACTTGTAATAAATTAACTCTTTATACATCATGCCTGAGGCTACTTTTTTCCCCTAACTGCTTTCTAACTACCTATGAATGTGGGGCAAATCTACACGAGAAGGTCACCTAACCCATTTTTAGTAATAAGGAATGGCTAATTTCTACTTGTTAGATGAAGGGAATAACCCTCCGGACAGAATCATGAGGATAATTATAAGGACGAAAAGCAATGTGCTGAGGATGGCAGCCCCCAAGATAGAAAGAATAGGAATGCTTAGGACATTGTTGAGTCCCTAAAGTAGCCGATCTTTGAAGTATCTTGAATCCCAGTTCCTCATGTAACATGGTAAATTTCTTTGTTTTTAAAGCCAGTTTGAGTTGGTCTGAGGATCTGATATATACATATACTTGCTGCTAAAATCATCCTAACACTACAGGCTTCTTTTATAACACCAGTGATAATCCACGAACATCCGCCATGTCTATAGTAGGTTCTCTTAATGATCTGTGATGCTGACAATGTCAGAGGTACCACACGGTCCAAAGAGTTGACACTTGTTAGAATCAGTCATATAGTGTGAGAAGCTTATTGCCGCTCCCTGACTGCTGGTAAAACATAGATTTCCCAACATTTCCTAATTAAACAACATTTACTTTTAGTAAGGCCTCAAATCTGCCACGGATTTTTGTTCTTGTGATTTTATTTCATCGCCTTTGGGGTAGGATAGGATGTTATATCCTAGCTTTTATTCCCTGGGTCTCATGCCTCAATAGCTTTTCTTGTTTTTTATTTTTATTTTTATTTTTTTTAAATTTTATTTATTTGACAGACAGATCACAAGTAGGCAGAGAGGCAGGCAGAGAGAGAGAGGAGGAGGAGGCAGGCTCCCTGCTGAGCAGAGAGCCCGATGCTGGACTCGATCCCAGGACCCTGAGATCATGACCTGAGCCGAAGGCAGAGGATTTAACCACTGAGCCACCCAGGTGCCCCAATAGCTTTTCTTGTTTTAAAGGGATGTTCTATTTCTCTCAACAGAGAAGTTAACAGAGTACATTTAAAACTAGTTCTGTGGCAAGCTCATGGGCCTGCTGCTTTCCTGGTTTACCTCCCAATGATGTCAGATCTCATCACAGTTATCACTGTAATCAGTTCTGATGACCTCTGCCAATGCAGTCCCTGCAGCATTGTCTTTCCAGATAAGCTATGTGAAAGTGAAGCTGGTACAGGTCTTTTTGTGGACTAGATGAAATGACTTGTTTTAACCTTTGCCTTGATTATAGTTAGTAGGGAAACCATGATTTTAGGGACAAGATAGACAAGAAGAAAAATAGACCAGCGGGAATCCTGTTGTGTGCAGTCACCATTTTCTGAACGTTCTTATTCTCCACTTAGGTAGTAGCAGTATTAACACATACTTGAAGGCTAGGAGGAATCCCATTGGCCAGCAGCTTTCTTCGGGGTCAACAAGGTCTGCTTTTCTGGCTTTTGTCTCTGGTCTTTCTTGTAGATAGCTTGTTTGATCGTCCAAGGACGAGGTGAACTATATAGTTATAGAGGCAAGATCTTTTTTCTATGAGACAGTTATAATAGGGTCATCTGAAAAAAATAGGAAAGTCCTAAATTTAGGCAGAATTTCTGACCAAAGCCCAGGTTTTTTTGCCTTTCTCAAATAAAGGATTTATATCTTGATTTCCTATCTTCAAAACAACGGGATCTATGGCTGCTTTTTTCCCTTGGCCTTCTTTCCTTTCAGTATCCTGGGTATCTAGACCTGTTTATTTTTTTAAAAATATATTTCTATCAAATAAATTTAGTTCTTACTGTTTTTTCTAAATGATTGGATTTTTTTTAAGATTTTTATTTATTTATTTTGACAGAGAGAGAGATCAGAAGTAGGCAGAGAGGCAGGCAGAGAGAGAGAGAGAGAAGCAGGCTCCCCACTGAGCAGAGAACCCGACATGGGGCTCGATCCCAGGAACCTCGGATCATGACCTGAGCCGAAGGCAGAGGCTTTAACCCACTGAGCCACCCAGGCGCCCCTAAATGATTGGATTTCTTATGGCCCCTTTCAATCTATATTCTTTTAGACTCACATTTCCTTTTTTGGGTTTTATTTGTCATTTTCTAGTCATACTTCTTATTATGAAATGTTGAAAGCAACATTAGCTTTATCATAATTAATGGTGGACAAAACTTGGGAGAAGAGTGAAAACTATTCCCATACATATATGACCCAGCACTGTCATTATTTGGCAGCTAAAAGCATATTCCCACAACACCTAGAGAGAGAAAACACACAACTGAAGTCTCCTTACATTTTGCTTACATTTCCCTTTTTTGTGTTGACATTTGTTAGTTCCATTCATGAGACAGGTGTCCAAATGCTGGTTCTTCTCGAGCACATTTGGTCATGGTTAATCCTTGAAGGTTCTGTAGGGGCTCCCTATCATAGTCCCCTGGCTTGAGAGATTCTTACCTCTTTCTCTCCCTACCTGCTTAACTCCCAAGGCTGTTTAGTCCACAGCCTTTTACTCTTGGATCCCCACCACCTGGGATGGGAAGGACACATAAGTTTAATTGTGGAATGTGACGGGGCTTAATCACTCCACTCGTGGGTATGTGTTGTGGGGAGTATTACAAGTTGACTTCAGTCCTGCCACTTTCCACGGTGTCGATTCAAGTTACAGGAAACTCGTGCATTTTTTTTTTTTTTTATGATTTTATTCATTTGAGAGCGAGACTCCCGTGTGTGCATGAGTTGGGGGACAGGCAGAGGGAGAGGCTAACTCTCTGCTGAGTGGGGGGCCTGATGCTAACGTGGGTCTCAATTCCAGGACCCTGAGATCATGACCTGGGCCTCAGCCACTCAACTGCCTGAGCCACCTAGGCACCCTGGAAACTCATTTATCCTCAGACTAAGTGGTGGGAATGTAGGTGATTCTCCAGGCACTCTCTCTTGCTTCCCTCTTTTGATCATGCTTCTTTCTCCTTGTCTCAGGTAAATGAAGTGCTAGAAGGCTCTGTAGCTTAGCAAACATCAGAAAAGAGATAATCACTATTTCCTAACTTAGTGGAAACAGGATATATGGCATTCTCAGTCTTATGGAAAAGGGAGTGAAGAGGCGCCTGGGTGGCTCAGTGGGTTAAAGCTTCTGCCTTCAGCTCAGGTCATGATCTCAGGGTCCTGGGATCGAGCCCCGCATCGGGCTCTCTGCTCAGCAGGGAGCTTGCTTCCCCTTCTCTCTCTCTGCTTTCCTCTCTACCTATTTGTGATCACTCTGTCAAATAAATAAATAAAATCTTTAAAAAAAAAAAAAAAAGAAAAAGAAAAGGGAGTGAAGTGCTAATGTCAAATCCTTCTCCCCTGTGTGAACAGGAGAGGGAAAGGATGGTTGCTACTTCACAAATTCTAACTGTTAAACTCTTCCTTATTCCAAGACCTCTTATTCTTTTTGGTCCTGAAACCTAAATCAGCTTGGTCTTTCTCACCACTGGGAAGGCCTGGGGAATCTGCTGCCAGAAATGCCATTTTTAAAAAAGTTGACTCAAAGAGAAATCAGGACCACTGATCTCAATAGTTCTGCTATTTCTTGATAATGGGAAACAAGAGCAAATGAAAAAAAAAAGAAATTTTCCTACTACTTACAGCCCATTAACAAGTCCTTGAAACAGGCAGAGTGACATTCCTCTAGGAAATCAGCTGCCTTGCCATTAATACCTTGCTAAGGGTGAAAGGCAATCTGGTTTAACATTATCCTGACTTCCAGGATCCTGTAAATCTTATTTAACATATAAAAATTCCTTTGGAAACTTTATCCTTTATCTCTACCCCGCCAAGATATATGTTGGCAATCATCTCCTAAGCATAGAGTCCACATCTGAAGGATCTCATGACTAAGGTTTTACTAGACAGTAATAAATTCCCTTTTCCTAACAATGGCTAGCCCCCTCAAGGTCCTGGACACCTTCCAAAATTTCCTATAGATTTAAAATGTCCCTATCCCCGCTCCAAACTTGAAAATATATAATCACCACCCCTCACTATGTCAGTGCTGCTCTTTCTGCCCATGGTCCTATCCCCGTGCTTTAATAAAACCACCTTTTTTCATTGAAGACATCTCAAGAATTCTTTCTTGACCATTTGCTCCAAACCCCAACATTACCTCATCATCTCTTATTTATTCCTGCTCTCTCAGGTAACTGAGAATAGTAAAGATCCCAGTCAGTACCTCATACTGGCCTGGTACATTTGCAAAACCTGCTTAGGAGAATTAACCACATCTGAGACAAGCAGATAATGTGCTAAGAATTTTATCTTCTGGATTTCTCCAGCATCATTTGGTTACTCATCAAGGTGAAGTTTGTAGGGGAAAGGAAAATAATTTTCCCTCTACTCTTCTAGGTGCTTGGCTGATACATACCTGTAACAAGACAGACTAACAGAAGAAAAACAAAAGAGAAGTTTAGTAACATGTATACCTCCTGTATACCTGGGAGATACCAAGGAAAACTGAGTAACTCCCGAAATGGCCATCCCCTTAAGTAACATCTCCAGGTAAAGGCTAGAAGATGTTGGGGGACGGGGAGGCCAGTTATAAGTTACCCTGAAAGGCACAGTAAACAAGGGTAAGGTTGTTTTTCAAAGAGAGAGAGAGAGAGAGAGAGAGAGAGACATCTTTACAAATGGAGATTTCCCTTATAAATGTAAATTGTTCTTACAAAAGAGTAACTTTTACCTGGTTTTTAGAACTTTTCCTATCTCTGCAGTTTCTTACAAATAACCAGCTTAAGGGGTGCTTGGGTGGCTCGTCAGTTAAGCATCTGCCTTTGGCTCAGGTCATGATACAAGGGTCCTGGTATTGAGGGCTCCTTGCTCAGTGGGAAGCCTGCTTCTCTGCTGCTCCCCCTGCTATGCTCTCTCTCTTTGACAAATAAATAAATAAAGTCTTAAAAACAAAACAA